TTTTGTCTTTTTGAGACAGGGTCTCGCTATGCAGTTCAGGCTGGCCTTGAGCTCACTTTGTAGCCCAGCCTGGCCTTGAACTTCCAACGATCCTCCTGCCTCAGCCTCCCGAGTGCTGGGATTGCACGCATGTGCCGCCATGCCCAGTTGAAGCCTTGATTTTCTTGGGAATAAAGTGGGGATAATAGCACCCGTTTCACCGGACTGAGATGGAGAACCAAGGAAAGACTACATTGGGAGTAGTTAGAGTAGTATCTGGCAAAAATAGAGTATGCTGAGTGTTGGCAAGGTAAATTACTCCTGTCACTGACATGCCCTCTCTAAGAGTAGTCAGAAATGAAGGCGAAACAAGGCTGGAAAGGCGTGGATTCTTCCTAAAACAAACGGGCTTACTGACCACACACAGGAGCTCAGGGGGTGGCCCGATGGCTTTCGGCCTCTCTGGCATCCATGTGCTTGCTACCCAACCCCTCACCCATTCTCTGACAGAAAGGGGCAGGTTTTCCACTCACTTTATTGACTTTTTCCTCGCCTATTTGCCATTGCCTCTTTGACATGCTTTTCCATGGTATAGCGCTTTGCCAGTGTCAGGCCCAGAGCACCCTGGGGCGGTGGAAAGAGCGTGAGCTAGAAGCAGACAGCTTGAGAGCCTTTGTTAGCGGCCTCCTTGTTGTGTGACCTTGTAGGTTACTTGGCATTTTAGAACCTCAGTTCTCCTCTTTTAAGCCAGCCTGACATCCTGTCGTAGGGTTCCTGGAGGAATTAAATATGTATAATGTTTAGCACAATACCTGGCTGCTACTAGACACCTAATAATTGTTGGAGTTTTTTATCCCTACTCTTAGCCCATCAGCAGCTGACCTTTTTATTTGCATGACCACTTGGTGAGTATTAAGCATAAAAAGTTCTAGAAGGTCAAAGCAAACAAGACTCAAAAGTCAATGATCTAATATTCTCAGCCTGACAAGGATCCTGGCTATGGTGTTTTGTAGATACTTGTTTCCTTCTCTTGGTGCCTGGGGGCTGGGGAGGTGTGGTTCATATTGGGAGTGCAAAGCCTGAAAAGCTCAAATCTGTTATCCGGTAGGTGTCACTGTATGTGTCATTCTTCAAGAGCAGAAGAGAAGAAACATTTCACCCCATGTGAGAGATATTTTGGGATTTCTCAAGGGAGCTGTGGTGGCTTGGGATGTAACAAATACCAGCTGCTTGAAGCTCCTTTTCTATTAAGGCAGCTTTCAATGCCTTTACTCTAGAAGCTATTGATAAAGATACTTGGTGGGTTTTTCCTTCAGAAGTTGTTCTCAAAGTCAGGAATTCACTGGAATGACTTGCTAAGCTAGTTAAACACAAATGGCTAGGCCACTACCCCAGAGTTTCGGAGGTATTAATTCTTCAGTAAGGCCCAAGAATGTGCATTTCTTGCCAATTTGCTGGTAACTCTCAGAGTTGGAAATCCAACTTTGAGAAACACTGCCATGTACACTGTTCCCTTTCCCTCAGCACAAACTCATAATTCCTGCAGAGCAAAGCCAACTTACTTTCTGACACTTCTTTCTTGACTATGGCAACATTTCCTCTACCTGGAGTAGAGAATCAGGGGCTGTGCCTAAGTTATTACTCAGAGAAGGTCATAAAATCCAGAGAACAAAATTCTTGTAGAAGTATCTTTACGGTAATAGCACTCCAACTTTACCAATATGAAGTTGGGCCATTACAGTGCAGGATCCCTGGCCCCAGTCCCCAGGTACTGTTCTTTAGTACTTGGGGTACCTGGCCACATTTAAGGTAATATTGCTTGGAGTGTAATAGTCTAGGAAACAGGGAACATTTTATTGTCAAGTCACAGTGTCTGTTGCTACCTGACGTTCACAGTGATGGCAAACCTTTTAAAGCTTCCGGTGATGCAAACGGCAGCTGGGAATCACTTTGCTTCCTGAGAGCCGCTCCTGGATACTGCCAGAGCCCTGGGCTGCCTTCCAACTTGGATCAGAACCCTTCTAATGACTGGTTTTACTTTTTGACTTTGTGAAAGATGTATCTGAAGGAAGGAGTTATTGCTTAATAAATATTACTTAGTACTCACCATATGCCAGGCATCGTGATGTTTGAAAAAAGGGAAACCAAAGCATTAGATCAGCACTTGCCTGTCCATCTGCTTGTATCAGAATCATCTCAGGAGACTGCCCATAATCTGAATATTTAAGGTGCTCAGGGAATTCTGATGGTTAATTTATTTTGGAAGTCACCGGGTGAAAACTATGTTTCTTCAGCTTGCCCTGATGGTTTAAGTCACATGGGGAGATTATTAAAAGCATAGACCCCCAGGACTTGTCAAAAAAAAAAAAAGGGCAGATCAAAAACTGCAGTGTATGTTTAAATTTTAGAAAATTTATAACAGTAACAGACACCTCACCATTAATACACTAATGCTCTCAAAAAACTCCTTCTTTTGAACACACTGGTCCCATCATTCATGCCACTTTCTGACATCTGTCTGGAAGTCCTCTTTCATGAGTGTCTTTATAAAGTGTGATCAAAGTCTGGTGAATTCTGCTGCTGTATGCCGTGTAACAAAGAGGCCAACTTGTAAAAACATTACGGTGTGTCCTCTTCCATTTTATTCACTGGATCTGACACCATGCAACTTTAGGTTCTTCCCAAAAGCTAAAGTGATAGTGAAAAGTAACATGTTGAACCTGTTCTGGACATGGAGGCAGCCATGACCTCACAACTAACGACACTCCTAAAGGAGAACGTCCACAACTGCTTCAGAGAGTAGCCAAAAATGATGCGATAAGTGTGTTCAAAGAAAGAGAGGGTACTTGAGGGGAGTGAATGGCAAAGTATCTTTTACTGTAATGAACTGTAAAAACTTAAATAGTCACCATATATATATTTTTTAATCACACTGTGTGAGTCCCTCAGTAGAAAGACCTCAAAATTCATATTTTTAAAGTGGTGGCACCCACCCATATCCCATCAAAAAGCCATCAACTCTGGGAAATAGCTCTGAAGGAGACTGCATCTGGCTATTTTTTTTATATTTGCACAATTCTGAAGGCTTCATAACAAGACAGATATTATATGTGCAATACAAGCAGTTTAACTTGAATTATTTTACACCCTAGACAGTTCATGGATCTTTCTTAATTTTGCTGCTTCTTTCTGCACTTAAATTTTTGATGCCTCATTAGAGGAATCAGCTTTTACAAACTGATTCCTTCTGCATGCCCGTTCCACCTCATGTAAGTTCTTGATCTGCGGTTCTGAGTTGGAAGAGAGGTCAGGCTGGAAAAATGTCCTCTTGCCATTTCATCAGCCCAGGCATGTAGGAAACCTGTTTGAGAGCGCATACCATACAAGACCAAAAATATGAGCTACACATGAACGGGTTATAGACTACCTACTTCTGGTCATAGTGCTATTTGAAGTCTTGACAATAATTAACGTGGCACCACACTGACCCCAACTGCTTTTCTTTGCTTTAATCTTAAGTGAAGACACATCACAGTTACTCCAGATAAAACTACCCAAAGACTTATGGCTCTTTGTGGTTGGTGCCCTTGGTGCTATGGGGTCAAAAACCCGCTCCCCAGTTTTATCGCATTCCCTGATCCCCGGCTCCTGCGGTGGAACACGTTTCCCCACTGAGCCCACGAGGGGGCGCCATGAGTGACAGCGGCGTGGCTGGGTAGACTGAGGCTGGACTTTAAGCGCAAGCTAGCCCGGAGTCACCAAATAGGTAAACCAGAGTGATTTGTGTACTTGCTGGGTGACTCTGGGCATGAGAATTAACTTCTTGAATTTATTTCCTCAATTTTCCCATCCATAGGTGTAGAGGAATAATCCTAACTCCATGAGGTTAAGCTCACATATAATAAAGCAGCTAGCCTATAATTTATATTACATCTCTTGGCTTGGAAATTCCCTTAAGTGAAACCTTTCCAATTTATTCTTGTCAAGTAATTCTTTCTTCCCCAGCTTTTGCCTCGATCATGTAATTGCTTCCTTTTCCACTCCCCTTAGATGAGAATGAGATCGGTACTGGACATTCTACTTTCCCAAACACCTTACCCCCTCCTGTAGCTTGTTTCTCTCTGGGTTCATGGACGATGTCCACTGACTAGCTACTTATGAACGAGCACATGGCTTAACAAAGCTTGCATTTCACCTGTTGCTCCAGGGCAATAGCTCTGGCCGAGTTGCTGGCTGCCAGGCTCCACTTTTCCTCAGATCCTGCACGTTTCAGCACCGCTTTTTCCAGCCACCAGAAATGGGCTTCCTGTGACTTCTTTGCAGAGAGTCCAGATGACTGGTATACCCGCATCTAAGTCTTTCTGTGCTTAGTCCCTGCTCCAAATTCTCTTTCATGGCTTACTGCTCAAGAGAGTGTCACTTACTGCAGTTCTACTTTCTATTAGCATCCTGTTCTATAGCAACGATTACAAAAATGCTTTAGTCCATACAAAAGTTGTTCCAACAGTCACTTGTACACTTCCTCTCCCCTAATTCTTAGTATTCCCTGCATCCTCCCTCTTCCGTGTGCTGCCCAGATACTCCATCCTTCACCTTCCTCATTGTCCCTTGAATCTGGAAGACTCCATTGAGAGCCTTTTGCCCCTGAGCCCATCAGCCAGTCCCACAGGGTCTTGGGCTCAAGCCAATCACCCTGTGGTTAATTTGGAGGGTGAGACTGGGGGAGAGCGGCGAGGGAAGGAGGACTCTCTTGCTCTGAGTAAATGGACATCCTGAGCTGGACTTCCTTTGAGGGTCTTAATTGCTGGTTTTATTGCAGTTTATACTCCAGTCTCTTTCCCTCCACCTTTTCCCCGTAATCCTGTCTCCCCCAGTGGCTGAAAGCAGCAACCGGGCCATGAAAGCCAGAGATGACTCCCTCGGTCCGGAGCGCCTGCTCATACTCGCTCTTAACTTTCACGCCTCCCCACCGCGCTGAGGTGCCTTTCCTCTCCAACCCCGGGCTGTCCGCGTCCGCATTCCGCGCTGCACATTCTGCCTGCGGAGCCGCGATCTGCTTCTCACGTGCAGGCTGCTGCACAGTACCGTCTCTCGGTCCCACTTTAGCGCATGCGCATCACCTGGGAGGAGAGACAGGAGCAAGGATGCGGGGCGGGCTGACTTCGGGGACCATCCTCACTCCCTGTGTGCTTGGTGACAGCGCGGCCCTCCCCGTGCATGCCCGAGGAGGGCTGAATCTCACATCTCTCTTTGCTGTCCTCACTCTCACGCGAGCCAGTGATTTATTGTCTCCATTTAGCTCCTTCCGTGCTGCCCGAGATAAAGAGCCTTTCAGTTGTGTCACATTAATGCACCCTGTGTTGATTTGCTGCTCTTCACTTGCCAGGCTTGTGGCCCAAGGAGACGAGTGAACACTCCTTTTGATGAACTGGCATCATTTTAGACCCTTTTAACCCACATAAAGTGAGAGCGAGGAGCTGCCTGGGATTCAGCGCAGAATTATTCCATCCACCCATTTCCTCCGCAGTTTCCTGTTCTCTTTCCTTCCTCTTTCTTGAGGAATGTGGTCTTCTGCAGATCCCCAGGCCAGCCCTGCCGAGGACGTGCCTTTACACAGCTGGCCGAGTCCACCACGTCGATGTCCTCTGCGCAGGCAGGGGCCCGTCTGTGTCTGAGCTGCATGTATTTTGAATGCTTATTTGTATACTGTAGTCATTGAATGGACTTGAAAGGTAACTCTGACAGGGAATAATTAACGAGGCTGCATTTTTTTTTTTTTTTTTTTTTGAGCGGTTTAGGTGTGGTGCTCTTAGGGCCTCCCTCAGAAGGGTTTGATAGTACTTTCCCCGTGAATGTGGTCACCTACAAACTCCTATCACAGATTCCCTCCTGAGTGTCCAACCACAGCCTTCCAGAATTCCTTGGTCTGATACACAACTAGCTTTCATCTCTTCACTGGTTTCCAGGGAAGGATATGGCAGCTGTGCAGAGGACCCTGATGGCTCTGGGCAGCGTCGCGGTCACTAAGGACGATGGCTGTTACCGAGGAGAGCCATCCTGGTTTCACAGGTAAACGGCCCTTCCCTGCATCCTGAGGCAGAGACCAGAGAGGGTGTGAAGCTTGGGGGCCTCGCAGAGGCTGTTCCGTACAGAGCTCCTGGGAGCAAGCACTCCCGGCCCACCAACGAGTCTCCTACAGCAAGGACGGACTGAGGCGGCCGTCCAGGCCACGCCCTGCCCAGGGCGGAAGTAGTTGGCCCTGCCCTTTTCAGGTAGGAGCGGGACCTTCCTGCCCTGCCCAGGTCCTCCCCTGAGGCTCAGAAAGAAATACGGCTTTTTGGGGAAGCGCTCAGTGACTCAGTGTCTGAACTGGATTTTACTGCGACCCGAGCCACCTCAAGTCTTCCTTCTCTCTCCCTTCCGCCCCTACCTACTGCCGGCCTTTCCTTCCTTCTTTCTTCCTATAATTTTTTTATACTTAAAAAGGTTAAATATACCCAGTTTCCTAGGCGCAGTCCCAGTTAACACCTGTTGTTCTAGCGCACTGATTTTTTTTTTCCTTTTTTTTTTTTTTTTGGTTTTTTTCCGGTACCAGGAACCGAACTCACGACCTTGCTCTTAGCCAGACAGGCGCTTTGCCGCTGAGCTAAATCTCCAGCCCTCCAATACACTGATTAATAGCCCCTTCTCTTGCTCTCAAAAGCGTCCTAATCTGAATAATAAATTGTATGGTCATCTCAGTTTGCTAAAAAGGTCTTTTCCTATGTTTTTCCTACTAAAGTGAGCGAGGGAAGGTAGACAGGAAAAGGAGGAAGTACAAATGGACAGCTTAGTTGTAGATGAAGAGAAAAGAACATCTGTTGCAGGTAATTCATTTCCCGGGCCCCCTTTCCTTGTACTTGAGAGTTATAGAAAGGCTTGTGTCATCTGAAGTGACATTTGTCTGAAAAGTTTTTAGATATTGACATGTTGAAAGCCTGGCTTTCGTCCAAGTGTTATTCATGATCTACCATGGCCTGTGTGCCTTTTTTTTTTTTTTTTTTTTTTAACTATTGGCTCTTAACCAGCTTGCTGACCTCTGATTTACTGATTTAGGGCAAGAAATTTTCTCTCCTAACCCCTAGTCCCTCAGCTCTAAACTGGAACATGGATCCTTGACCCTGTACAAGAAATGTGGGACGGGCTCGATGGCATGCTTTGTAAGATGAGTGTAATAATTTTTACAAGGGGTTGAGTTAACTGTGAGAGAGCCAGGGATATCGGTCAGTGGCACAAGGGCCTGCCTGGCAAGTACAAGGTCCTGAGTTCAATTCCTGCTACCAAAAAAAAGAGTTAACTGAGAGAGAGAGGATAAGAAGACACAGACTGAGATGACCAAAGGTGGTAGGAGAAGAAAGAAAAGCCAAGAGAGGGAATGATCATTTGGAATCCCCCATCCCCTCGTGGATCCTTCTTTCTTTGCTGGAGATGTTAGAAAACATCTGGGCTTCTAAGATAAGGAGCTCAAGCACCATAGTGGAGCCTGCTTAGTGCAAGGCCATAGTTAAGGTGTCACTGAAGTTTAGGACAGGGTCATAGCTCAGGATAGGACCATTGGTCAAGGTAGGGTCATTGCTCAAGACGGGTCATAGCTCAGGGTAGAGCCTACTGGTCTCTTGGGTGACCCAAGGTAGAGCCTACCTAAGTGTACAGCTTGAGAAGTGTTTCGAAACATGAATGACATTATTCCATCTCATTCTTCCTGCCAGGAAAGCCCAGCAGAATCGGAGAGGGTTTTCAGAAGAGCAGCTTCGCCAGGGACAGAACGTAATAGGCCTGCAGATGGGCAGCAACAAGGGAGCCTCGCAGGCGGGCATGACTGGGTACGGGATGCCCAGGCAGATCATGTAAGATGCTGCATCCTGACCCCGGTGGAGAGGACGAATGTTCCACACCGCAGTAGTCACCTGACCTCCTCCTCTTTCTCAAAGCCTTCTGTCCCTGGTTTCCGCGAAGTGCTGCGTTTCCGCTCAGAATCCACGTTGCCTACTGCTGCCACCTGCTGTTCATGTAGAACTATGCAAAGACTCCGCCTCCTCCTCCAGAGCTCTTCTGTGCCCCAAAGTCTCCTCCGATTATTTATTTATTTATTTATTCGCCAAAAAGTCCCCTTTTCAACTTATCGAACACGCCTAATAAACAGATTAGCCTCGTGTCTTAAAATGTTCAGTTTGTATCTTGTCTTACGGACCCCGCAGGGTTCTCATTGAAGAAGCCCGCCACCAGGAGTGGTGGTGGTGCAAGTGCAACGCTAGCACTCTGGGAGGCTGATGCAGGAGGTTCACAAGTTCAAGCCCAGCTTGGACAGTTTAGCAATGTTGAGAAACTTTGTCTCAAAATAAAAAATAAAAATGAGGTAAGAGTATAGTTAGTGCAAAGGTTCTGGGTTCCATCCTCAGTTCTTTCCCCCATAAAAACCAACAAAACAAAACAAAAAGAAGTCCACAAGAGCTAGATGTCATGGCTCATACCCATATGCTCAGCACCCTGAAGGCCAGTCGGGGACACATAGCAAGTGGAAGGCCAAACTGGACTACAAGGTGAGATTGCTTCAAAAAACCAAGGCTAACCAAACAGAAACCCAAAACCAATCACACAGGCAAAATAAAAGCCCACAAAATAGGATTGAGCTTAACCTGTAGAAATGTAAGTTACCTGTGAGGAAGCTCTCCATTGTAATGTTTATCTTAGCAATTGCAGTAGAACATTTAGGAATAGTTTGCTCGCTAGAGCACTTAACGTTGTAAGTTTAAGAACAAGGTCTTGACCGCACATATTTTTTGACTGCCTGCTTTGAACTTGTTGTACTTACTACTCAGGAGAACACTGGAATGAGCAAGCCAAAGCACAAGTTCTTAAGGAGCTTTTGTATAGAAGCCCAAGAATTGTCCGATATGTCCGATGAGTGGTTGGGTGCATAGAGAAATGGATGGATGGATCGATGAATGAGTAGATGATTGTACTGAATGATGAGTTGATAGATGAATGAATAAGTGGACATTTTTCACCTTAGCATTAATATGGTCCTTACAGCCCAGACCTTGGGTTTGATGCTGACATTTATATAGTATTTCTTTATCATGCAAGAGTTATATATTATGTAATTTGCTCTCCGAAAGACATTTAGGATCTAAACCCCTAACACTCTAGAGTATTGCCTAAGATGGAGATCTGCTTAAAATGGGTAGTTTTTAAAGGTTTTTAATGGATAGGAAAATAAGGAGGGCAAACAAACCTAGGGACTATCAAGTCATCTTTTTATTTTCCACAATTTTTAAAAAAGCAATGCATTTAATAAGAAAAGAAATAAGATTTATATCTAGATAGTAAGTTATTAATTAGTAAGGAAAGCTAAGATTAAAGATGTCACACTCGATGTTTAGGAGACTGTTTCTCAGATGGTATTCTCTGCAGTTCTGGGCTTGCTCAGAGATTTCTTTCTTCACATACTTTCTTTCTTTCTTTCTTTCTTTTTTTTTGGTACCAGGAATCCAATTCAGAACCTTGAGCTTGCCAGGCAGGCACTTGTGCCACTGAGCTATATTCCCAGCATCTTCACATACTTTCTACACATACTTCTTGACACACTGGTGACCCTTCGATAACCACTGGTGAGCTGTCTAAGACCGTACCCAAACATGGCAGCTGAATTCTTTCCCCAAACCCTGCCTTGGAGTTGCCTCAGAAATAAGAGAGGGAGGTTGATGGGTATCAAAAAGTGCAAGAAAACTGAGTGGGAATTCCTAGACAGGTAGAGGTGCTGGGTACCTGTGTGGGACTGAGGATAAAAGTAGTCTCCATCAGAGAGCAGTTGGAACAGCTTTGAAGAGAACATTCAGGCTATGCCTTGTTCTGCCGTCCACATTACCCGGGCTCCATTGCTGTACCAGAGAGGGAAGGAAACAGCAAAAGCAGCTGAGGGGTAGCAGGAAGCAATCTGCCAAGAACAGGGCAGTACTGGAACCCAGCCGGAGTGCGGAGCAGGTTACAAGAACATTGACAGACTCGCCAGCCCTTGGCTTTCCCCTTTTCCAACTTTGCTTTCGCAGTTAAGGTCATACATGACCGCAGGGAAGTATGTGCTCGCAGAAAGCAACCAAAGACCCTTGAGGGTGTAAGCATTCACATCAGATAGAATAATCACTTATAAGTAGCCTAATATACTAAAACGGGTGTGGAAAATACTGGCAACGTGAAGCAATACTGCGGTCCATTGTGAAGAAGGAAATCGACTGGATACAAAACATCAACAAAAATGAAATGCATGAAGCAAGCACTAACAGAAGAATGGATGCAAAGAACAATTAGAAAATCTTAGTACCAAGACAAAGCATTCTATTAAAAATAACGGGCACAAATAGTTGGTAAGCACAAAAGCAACAGTAAAAAATAAGAGTCAATAATTATTTAACTGGAATCTCGGAGAGGTGAAATTCTTCGGGGAGGAAAAATTTGAAGAAATAATTGTGATACTTTCCCAGAATTTACAAGAAATGAAAAAGAACAGTTTTAAAAGACTCATAAAATGCCCCAAAGAAACAAACATACAAAGAAGACAAGTTCCATTGGGAACGGTATAGTAAAATGTGTGACCACTGAAAATAAGCAGACAGCTCTCACACCCTTTAAAGGTAAAAGCTTCCCTATATAAGACAATCATCAGATTTCCTTTGGACTTTTCAACAGTCATCCTGGTTCCATAAAGTGATATTTTCAAAGTGCAAAAGGAAAAAAATCAAAATATTGAACAAATTTTTCTAATTAATTCATTTTTTGAGCTCAAGAAGTTAACATGCCCTTGGTGGAGGCAATGAAGTTTTCAGGTCAAAAGAGTTCTTTGCTAATATGTGCGCCCAACAAACAAAAGACAGATAATCGAATATTTTTAACCTTAATCTTTCCTTCAGTGTCTGATCAACTCTAAGTTGCCTTGTGTTGCAATACACAGTTGGACAAAAATCTAGAATAGGTGGGTCTCTGAGGTAATTCTTCTTGGAAAACATAGACATACCTATTATTTTGTTACTATTTAATCAGCAACACTTTTTTTTTTTTTTTTGGTCTTTTTGAGACAGGGTCTCGCTGTGCAGTTCAGGCTGGCCTTGAGCTCACTTTGTAGCCCAGGGTGGTCTCAAACTCGCAACGATCCTCCTGCCTCAGCCTCCCCAGTGCTGGGATTACAGGTGTGTGCCACACATATTTTAATTACTGTTTAACATGCTTATTTTACCAATTATAACGCTACCTTCAAGGTAATTGTGCAAAGGGACAGCATGTTAATTTTCTCTCTTGTTTTTTAATCTTTTTGAGACAGAGTCTCGCTATGCAGTTCAGGCTGGCCGTGAGCTCACTTTGTAGCCCAGGCTGTCCTCGAACTTGCAATGATCCTCCTGCCTCAGCCTCTCGAGTTCTAGGAGTACAAGCATGCGCCACCATGCCTGGCAATTTTCGGTTTTTAAAAATTTCCAAGTAGAGTTTTTAAAAAATCCTCTGAACAGTTTGTAAAATATTATAACAACTCAAGGAAAGGAAAAAAAATCCTCTTTTAGCCTGGCATGGTAACACATGCCTATAATTCTAACATTCTTAGAGGCTGAGGCAGGAGGTTTGCAAGTTCAAGCCCAGCCCAACTTAGCAATTTAGTAAGACTCTGTCTCAAAATAACAAAAAATACAAAAGGAACAGAAGATGTTCAAGCCTCAGTAACACATACACACACACACACACACACACATACACGATCCTCTTTAATTCCATTCTCCAGGATAACCACCATCCATAATTCAGTACCTATTATCCTATCATATTAAAATTCATCTGCAATCAGCATAACACATTCAGAACATCTTTATGATCTCCTCGTAGTGTACTAGTTTCTCTCATCTACAACTGATATGCTCTTAAAGCTCCCTAGGAAAAGGATGGGCTTACATCTTCTCAGGAAATAGAACGATGAGACTTGTAGGGCTGTCCCAACAAGATCAGAAAAGGAAGCCAATCCTTTCTACGACCACATGGAAATGGCTGAATAATTTTTTGTTGAAAAAGCCATCAAATGGAAGTGTCACCTTTCATTTGACTAATCCCTTAGTATTGGACTTTAGAATGTTTTCAGTTTCATTATTCAAGTTAATACCATGAGAAATATCTTTATATATAAACATATCTTTGTAAGAATTACTGTAGGATAATTTCTTAGATGGTGAGTATCCATTCTTTATTTATGCTGTTAAACGTCCATCAATACTCCTAGTTCACAGCCTCTCCTGCAAAGTATTAAGCATAGCTCTTTCTCTATATTCACCAGAATTATCACTTAAAAAATTGTGAACACTTTGAGAGACACTGTGTACCTATCAGGACATTGTTGGAACTTGGTGTCTTTCCTGGACAGCTGCAAAGTATTTTATAATATCCGAACATCCTGCCACAAATCCCAGCATTTTTTATGTCTGCCAAAGAGCACAGTAAATCCGTGAGAAATTCATGCCTGCTAATGACTGTGAAGTAGACAAGGGTGGTAAAGTCAAAAAGACTAACTGGGAAAAAATATAGCATTAAAACAAAAATTAATGCATCCAGAATTCCGCTTGAATGTGTTATGCAAGAGAAATAACGTGAAACACAGCTAAAGGGTTTATCACTCTGTGAAATCAAAGGTCTGATGTGGTCCTGAGCCCATCATAAATTCTCAAAATAAATGCAGCTATCTTTGTAGCTCTGAGTTAGAACATAAAACTATTTTGCAGGACAAAGATAAATCTCATTGTGGTTCAAATGGGTCTAGAGCAAATATTATTCTACTGACCTTTATTTTAATGAAACTGATATTGAATGGCCTTCTGTATAATACAGGGAAAGATCCGTCTGGTTCTACAGTTTTGAATCGATAACTGTTTGTGAGAACACTGCATCAGTTTTACGATGGGATGATGTGGGCTCACCTAGATTGCAAAGTGCCAAGCTCTGCCTGTGAAGGAATTATTTCTGAACAAACTAAAGGAAAGAGATAGAAGCCTGCTGGAATTTCACTGGAGAGAGAGATCAGTCTGTTTGAGCTGCTATAAAAATATTTTATTCTGGGTAACTTAGAAATAATTGAAGTTTATTTCTCATCAGCTTGGAGGCTGGAGGGTCCAAGATGGAGGACCTAGACTGGGTTA